CTCCCCTCATCTCTTCGCCATCACGCTAACTTTAGCATTTTGTGATGTACAACCCTCCGTCATTCTCATGTCTGTTTTGAACCCCTGGTCTTTGAATATGTAGGCCTAGGTTTTTGTTTGCAAGGAAATATAGGGCAGAAATACAAAAAGTACAAGATCATTGTAGACAAATAGAGTATATTTATAAACAAGCCGCATATCTTCCCATATTGTTCTTGTCATTAATCGTCATTACTCGCATCTCTTAGTGTAGTGACATGTTATTTGTAACTGCATGGACACATGGCTAGTCTCTAACAAGGATACACACTGGTGATCAAATCCTAGGTGCGAATATCAAAGTGTGCCATAGGTAATGCAACTTCTAGTGACTCGCACAATGTAATTCTAGCTGTGGAGGTAGATGCTCTTTATTATAGTGTAGCATCCTTTCTTAGCTCTTTATGGCATGTACCATTTCTCACTTATGTCCCTCTTCCACCTCCCTCTTCTACACAAGTTACCTTGTGTCGCTATAATGCCCCTTCATCCTAGTCCATCTCGTCTGTCATCACTACTGAAGTGTTCTTCCCTCATGTCTTCAGCAAGTATGAACTTATCTCCAACACCATTCATCGATTTGTATCCTCTTCCCACCTCCACTTTAAATCCAACATTCAGGTGAGATACACTATCCCCTCTCACCCATCCACTCTAAACCTTAACCTTAGAATATCTAGCACTAGGTTATATACTCATGCACATCTCATTACAGATAATGATTTTTATATAGTGGGATGAACATGCGTCGATATCCTATTATAATAAAACGTTGAAAATTTCATTTGCGGAATTGAGGTTGTATTACCCATTGAAATGACCTAGATGTCTCCTAAAGGTGAATGAATAGGCATTTTAAAACAAGTATGTGATATAGGCAAAGGTGTCCCGTCTTTTGATGAGATGGTGATTGTCGTTTTGGAGGAGTAGACTTTGACGATCTGACTACGTACATGTGAGGACGTCGTGCCTTAGTAATCGCTAAACCAACTCTGAGAGGTTATTGACTACGCCGGAGCACGATCAACCTAACCACGAGGGTCTATTTCCTGCGAGCAAATGAAGAACAAGCAAGAAACTGAGATTGCAATCTGGATATTACGAATATAAGATGAAAGATTTATTGATCAAGATGGGGTTCTGTGATGTCTTGGTCTGGTCATTGAACACAAATGAAGTACGCAAAGTTGCAGCTATGGTAAACTTTTAATCTAAACAAAACCCAAAGTCTAAACGGTGCCCTAAGGGTTGTATATATGGAGGAAGAGGGGGGAATTTCGTGGCCCTTGGTGGAGGGGTCTGAAACCAACCCTATCTCTTGTTTCCCACACATACGGACTCTAAAAATAGCCTTACTTATGTATTTCGAAATCACATGGGCCTGGCCCAATAAAAAGGTGACGCGGCACCTAGAATAGCCTCTGGACGAAATTTATGAAGTTGCATCTTGTATATTTCGTCCAAGGCTTCATGCACTCGTTATGGTGGCTTCAAAGTCTTGAAATCATCACTTGTAAATTCGTTCTTGTTCCCCTTGCGCATGCCATCATCTCCATGCTTGGTCTTGCTCCAGTGTTTACCCCTCTTATCCATGCCAGGCCCTTCATTTGTAAGCAAAACAAATGTATCCAATTTAGGCAGCATCATATTCTCATGAACATTAGAATCATTACCAAGAAACGAAAGTACCTGATAATTTAATTGGCGTGCGTGAGCTCTAATTGGTCCAGTATATGTAGCAGTAGGGGTTGTGGGTGTAACAACGGTATTGATGTCCTCATCATCCTCCCCTTCTTGAAATGAAGTCGTCCTCGGTGGAAGCTCATCTTCCTCACCCGAATAAGGCTTCAAATCTGCAATATTAAAAGTGGGACTAACCCCAAAATCTGCAGGCAGCTCAAGTTTATATGCATTATCATTTATTTTCTCTAACACCTTAAAAGGACCATCAGCACATGGCATTAGCTTTGATTTGCGCAAATTAGGAAACCTATCCTTATGCAAATGTAACCAAACAAGATCTCCAGGTGCAAAGACGACATGTTTTCTACCCTTATCTCCAACAAGTTTATATTTAGCATTCATACGCTCTATGTTTTCCTTAGTTAACTCATGCATTTTTAAGATCAATTCAACACGTTGTTTAGCATCAAAATTAACCTTCTCCGAAGATGGAAGAGGCAACAAATCAATAGGTGCACGAGGTAGAAAACCATACACAATTTCAAAAGGGCACATCTTAGTAGTAGAATGCAATGAACGATTATAAGCAAATTCAATATGAGGAAAGCATTCTTCCCACATTTTCTTATTATTCTTCAAAACAGCCCTAAGCATAGTGGATAATGTTCTATTGACTACGTCAGTTTGTCCATCAGTTTGGGGGTGACAAGTAGTACTAAAAAGCAGTTTAGTTCCCAACTTAGCCCATAAATATCTCCAAAAGTGGAAAAGAAATTTAGTATCACGATCTGAAACAATAGTATTTGGCACAACATGCAAGCGAATAATTTCACGAAAGAACAAATCAGCAACATTAACAACATCATTGCTTTTATGACATGGTATAAAGTGTGCCATTTTCGAGAATCTATCCACGACAACAAATATGTTATCCCTCTCCTTCTTTGTTCGAGGTAAACCTAAAACAAAGTCCATAGATATATCCTCCCAATGAATACTAGGTACAGGCAAAGGCATAAATAAACCATGAGGATTGAGTCATGACTTAGCTTTTTGACATGTAGTGCAGCGAGTAACAAAACGCTCAACATCCCATCTCATCTTTGGCCAAAAGAAATGTGTAGCAAGTATATCCTCCGTCTTCTTCACGCCAAAGTGTCCCATTAATCCTCCTCCATGTGCCTCCTGCAACAACAAAAGACGAATGGAGCTAGCTGGAATGCATAGCTTGTTAGCACGAAACACAAATCCATCGTTAACGACGAACTTGTTCCATGTTCTCCCTTCTTTACAATTCTGCAATAAATCTTTAAAATCAGCATCATGCAC